GTATAATAGGTTCCGTCAGTAAGAACAGAGAAATAACATTGCATGCATGCCTGCTATTCAACCCCTTCTCTTGGCGCTACTTCCACCTCTTGAGCCATAATAGGAAGTAAATTGACCAAGGTGCAGTGGCGGTTCGAGGGGGGGGGGGCGCTAAAAAAAAATTGTCTAGCCCCTCCAAAAAAAATTCCATAAAACAAATGCACTAGCAAAATGTAAGAATTTGACGTACATGGGAACGGTCTCCCCCTAAATGAGAAGGGTGCATTGGTACACTTTTAGTTAATATAGTGTGCCTGATTGTAGGATTTATCAGAGCTCCCCATTGAACCCCCCCCCCCCCAACGTATTGATTTTCAGAGGCCTAAGTGTCCGGAGAAAATAACCTGTCTACATTTCAGCACGACTCCCTGAAAAAAATTCTGGATCCACCTTGCTAGCCCCCCCCCCCCCCCCCCCCCCCCACCTAAAAAATGCCAAAAACGTTTCAATGCCAAAAACGGCAAAAACACATCGACCACTATCGTTCAGTTAATGAGTATAAACACGCATTGTTTGGGGTATAGGGAATGGGATGCAATGGCCGTGCTGATATAGTCATCATCAAAAATCAACAAGGACTACGCCGGGGACCTTCGGGAAAATCGATGCCATTATATTGCACGAATCTCGTGTGTTGCTATCTTCTGTCTCAATACCAAAAAAGAAAATAAAATGACATCAGTTAACTAGTGATTCCAAAAAAACCCAACACCCCAGTGTTCTGAACGTGTTTTATAGCACTCTCCCGTACCAAGGAACAGAGAAGATAAACTGCTTTTGAATAGTATTATATTTTTAGGAGACTTTTCATAAGATGAAATATGCGTCGGAGTGATGTAAATTCAATGTAATTATTCTTCCCTTCACCGACGTACTTTATAAACACTGTATACTCAGTGTTGTCCCGAGTGACGGTGAGTAAAGAATTGCTGATTGTTATCCTTTTCGCATACAAAAAGCCATGCTAACATTGAGATGGAAATGAGAAGTTGTCGAAAAATGAGAAGAAATGAAACACGAGAAGCGGTCGGCATAAGAGTATCATGACAGCCCGATGCACGCCATGCATATTAATGCGGTCAGCTCCATCGACGATTTAATTTTTCGTAAATAGTGGATTTTCGTAATACAATTACATACTTTTGCTCGTTTTCAATTTTTCTTTAGAAAATTGAAGTGGCGACCTATCGGTAAATGAGCTGTGAAATGAGAGGTAAGCTGATAGCTTAGCGCCAAAATCGATAGGTTTTGATGAAATTGTGAGTATTTCAAGGTGACGATGGAATTAAAAAAAGGCCTAATTTCCAAAGGCAAGGGCATGTTATATATAAAAGGAACTTTGACAAACAACACAAATTATTACTGCAACAAAGACATATCCTTTTATTTTTTTCCGACAAGCATATGAATTTAACTTGTAAGCCCTATACAGCCATAAAAGATTGCCTCAGAATTGGACTGGTGAGTCTGAAAGTAAAAGGTCACGCGGCGGCAATTTCTAAACGTGATCACCCCAAGAAACATTCATGTTGGAATTTTATCTTGGTATTCCTCAAGAAAAAAAAAATAAAAAAAAAAAATTTCACTTTCGACCTTCCTCATCCGGCATTTTCGTTACTAGGTCTCCCACTTCGTTCACGTTTATTTTCACTTCTCGTACTTACGTGAGAACGAAAATGTATGACAACGCCAAGATCTACCTAGTACCTACAGTCGATGGATTCTGGAGTTAGTCAGGCCGACTTGAATGCAGTCCTCATCGGTCGGCACTGTTTAATTTTTGTGTCAATGCTAATTAGTCCTTCCAGTTTATTTTAAATAAATTGAATATCCTAAAAGACATCTGAGTCTCCTATTTAATTTTCAGTTTTCACCCAATTACCAAGTTCCACTAGTCCGAATGTATTTTAGATTTTCAGAAGGGAGAGGTCAATTTTTGGGACGATATTTCTCTTTCACGTCAGGCGATATTTCAGTTTCCATAAATTTGAGATGCTAGTATAACAATTTCACAAAGGAATTATTCGAGGGTGCTTTTCTTATGAAATCAGGGTACCAAAAAGAATTGAAAATTTTAGAATATTTGCACGTTAATTTTCCTATTCAAGGGTTCCGGAAGCGCGCCAGTAGGATGAACTTCAGGCTCTATCGAAAAGTTCTTATTATAGTTAATCACGGTTCGCAGGTAGTCTGAAAATTATCATCAGCACTGAATTTTACCCAAATGACTATACTGATGTATTTCTAGTCTTAACAAAAATTGTAGTTGTTTCATAGACGTCAGTCACAGGTCGAAGACCAAAAACAAAGACCCCGCCTAGACCATGAGATTTAAATTTTGTTTTGCAAATCGTACCAAATACGTAGGAAATGTGGCGCCAAATTCAAATTTCGTCTTCCGAGCTCCACCTTGCGGAGCATAATCAGAATGTGCTGCGATTTCGTCCCGAATACTACCACTCCGAAACGACCTCGAACCGAATACTACGACTTCGCCAAAACCAGCGGCGGCGGAACGGTTTTCAAACTGGGGGGCATCACCAAAAAGGGGCACTTGCTCAGTAAAATGCATCTTCTGTTGGTGCAGCAGCGTATGCAGCGGCTTATTTCTTTGTTGGCACATCCGTGCTGAAAATAATGTCCACACGTTTTTTTTCACCGGACACTTGGCCTCCTTAAAATCACACAGTGTGTGGGTGTATATGGGGGATTGTGGGGTACTGAAACAATGGGAGGTACCCCACAAGGCCATTTTTTTGACCTTGTGGGCACAAGTTTTTCACGAAATAGATATATGGAGTTTACTCAAAAACTAGGAATTTCCAAGGTGGGTTGATTAGTCGCAAATGGAAGAGTTTTAGAAAAGGGATATTAAGTCCGAATTTCAGCCAAGGAAATTAATTCTGGTTAAAATAAGAGCATTTTGAAACTAGTGTGCGACATTGCACAATTTTAGTACACGAGAACAATGGAAACACCCCACTTGTATGCCTGGGGTGTGTGTGCGTTGGGGGGGGGGGCAAAATAGGGCCCGCTCTTCAAAACCAGCTGTTATGCAAACTAGGCTGGACTCGAACCCACAACCGGCAAAACTACACAGAAAACACAAAGTGAGTAATTTGCCTCAATATCGTAATAATTGAGTCATTTGTCCGTGTAGTGACACACTTTGAGCCAAAGTGTGTCACTATCAGTGTTGTAGTCGAGACCGGATAGTCCGAGACCGAGACCAAGACCGAGACCTGAAGATTCGAGACCGAGACCGAGACCGAGACCGAGACCAGCCCCTTCAAGGCGGACCGAGACCGAGACCAATATGGTCCGAGACCGAGACCGAGACCGAGACCGCTGATAATAAATAACAATAGTCGAAAAACAAGACACGTTATTATAGTTGAAACTTGTAACCTTTCTATTCACAAAGATTACCAGACCAAAATTTTGACCAGTGGCAGTGTTGACAAATTGATACATGACACCTTACTTGAGCAAAAAACACTAAGACATAAACACTTTGACATGTTGTCTGCACCCAATCGTGACAAAAGTAAAAAGTTAAAGGTAAATGTTTCATCTGTTATAGGAACTCGGATCCTAAACTCTACAGTCACCCCTTGGTTTAAGCTATGACTTCTAACGGATATTTAAAGATGGAATTTTAATTTTTCTTTGTGCCTCTTTTTTCCTAAAATAAATATAGGACTTAACTGCTAACAAGACTTGTGTACTTGATTTTAAAAAATGGGAGCTAGAAAATGTTGAATTAATTTTTTAATTTCTGTCATAGAATGTGGACTTGTACATGTAGACCCACAAGTTGCGAGGTGGTAGCCAGAATGTGCCAGATATGGATTTTTATTTTTTTCTGAACGGGATTTTAATTTTTGAGGAATAATGGGGTACTTCAAAATGACCAGCCAGAAAATGGGGTCTCATCATACACTCTCATGGCAACAGTGAGTGGTAACTGGTAAGAGTGTGTGAGTTCAATGCTGGAAAATCAGGTAGAAAAATTTACTTTTTCTTCAAAATACTGTCCCAAATTAAAGAGATCATTGTATGGGGTCGAAAATATAACTAATTTGAAGCACCTCATTTATTATCAGAATACAAAATGCAAGTGATTACGCCTACAGGGGTGGGCTAAACTACACAATCCCCGAAAATGGTTGACCCTACTTTGCTTTATGTGCCCGACTCAACAGATAAATGCAGAACTTGTTCCAAATCGTTCAGTGACTGGTACTGCTGCAGCTTTACATGTACTTTGGGGACTTTCCAACGTGCAGTCGAGTCCAAACCGACCACGATATAAACAAGCTTATCTACGGGCTAGCAAATGTTTTAACTATCAATTGTACTAAACGAAGTGAACAAAAAGTAATCGATCGAGCTGTAAAAGCTACATATTGCTGGTCTCGACCCGAGACCAGCCAAAATATCGAGACCAAAGGGGACCGAGACCGAGACCAAGACCGAGACCACAGCTTCCGAGACCGAGACCGAGACCGAGACCAGCAAAAAGTGGTCTCGAGACCGGTCTCGAGACCGAGACCGGTCTCGAGACCGAGACCGGTCTCGAGACCGAGACCGGTCTCGAGACCGAGACCGGTCTCGAGACCGAGACCGGTCTCGAGACCGAGACCGGTCTCGAGACCGAGACCGGTCTCGAGACCGAGACCGGTCTCGAGACCGAGACCGGTCTCGAGACCGAGACCGGTCTCGAGACCGAGACCGGTCTCGAGACCGAGACCGGTCTCGAGACCGAGACCGGTCTCGAGACCGAGACCGGTCTCGAGACCGAGACCGGTCCCGAGACATACAACACTGGTCACTATACGGACAAAATGACTCATTTTTTTACGATAATGAGTCTAATTACTCACTTTGTGTTTTCTGTGTAACCGCAGACCACGAGTTAAACGTCCCAGACCACAAGGCAATTATTATGATATTCCTACCTTCTTTGGCATAATAAGTGCAGCCAGCAGCCCCGGGCATAGTCGCACGTTCATTCACCGGGACTAAGGTGGCATCCTCCAGCACACACTGCCCGCTGGTCTTCTCGTAGCAAACCTGTCGACAAATCTCCTTCTTCAGGCACTCGGTGAAGCAACGAGGCTTAGATCGGCCGACCGATGAGGCGATCACGCGTTGTGGCACTGCCTGGTACTCGCCGTGTTTGGCCAAGTGAAACGTTCCCGAAGCCGTGACGGGGGCTGAGCCGTTTGCCAGAAAGATCTCACTAGAGCAGATCACAGCGATCAGACTGACGTGTGAGCCTATTAATACTCTCATTTTAATGCAAAGATTCAGTACTGTTGTACTGTTTCTCTTTAGCGTTTAACAAGTAATTTAATGAGAAGTCTTTCAGATCTCACTTAAATCACGCATCTCTAAACTAATCTTTATAGTCATGCATTTTTAGGCGACAAAAAAAACTTCGTTTCAGGCGACAAAACTTCGTATCGACAAGAACGTCTTTTTGGTAGGCACCGGTCGTATTGAGTGGTAGCCTAGTCGGCACGCAGCCCGTGGTTGCCGTACAACCCGGTGTCACGGTCTCACTTCTCCGGCGTGCTAGCTTCTCCAGGTCGATTTGGCGGATAACTGAGCACGTTACAGTACACGTTACATGAGCACGATTCATGCTCATGTGTCCGCTGTGCTTACTTTTCCTCGGGCTGTTTTCTGAAGTCTACCAAGCCCATTAATAACACAGTGAGGGACACCCAAGAATGTGTTATGTAACACTTCCTGTGGGTCAAGTCATTCCATGGTCTTGCAAGCATTCTGATTTGTGTTCCCAGCGTCATGCATGTGTGTGTTCATGGAGGAATAATTAAGAACGAACTCCTTGGTCCGTGTTCCTTGCTCGTTCGTGGTCCATTTTGTCCTTATTTTTGCAACCACGGCTTGAAATAAATGTGCATTTCAAATTCAAGTCTTTAATATTGGGAGTTAATAGTGCGCGCCACGAAAATTCTATGCATACAAATATCTTACGTACACAAGTACAGCCCCGAAAAACTCAGCACACTAATACAGTGACGAAAATGTACACTACTGCGCAATTTTGTGCATACGTGTTGAAGCGAAATTTCCGTTTTGGAGAAGCTAGCACGCCGGAGAAGTGAGACCGTGACAGGTGTAGGTTTTACGCATGCGCAAAATTTGTTGCCCAACCGTTAAGTCCTGATGAGGCCTTCGTTATAGCATGAGCAAGACAAGGGCGGATCCAGAAGACAATTTTTTGGGGGGCCAAAAAATTTTTTTGGTACCCCAAAAAGTGGGTCAAAAAATTACGGCGTGGGGTTCGGGGCCCGCTTAAGGGCCCCGAAATTTTTTTGGATTCTAGATGCTCTGTGGTGCGATCTGAGGCAATTTCTGACCACTTTTACCAATGTTTTTTTGAGGAAAAGATGGTGGTGTACTCATTGCCTGCCTTTATTGCGACGTCACATAAAAAAAAAAATTGGCTTCGTTTTGGGGGGGGGGCATGGCCCCTTTGGCCCCCCCCCTGGATCCGCCCTTGGAGCAAGATACAGATAGTGTGTGAGGAAATACATGGATTATGCGGAGCAGTGGAGTAAATATGTGCCGGAAAGTGGTAGAGGGGGGGGGGGGGAGGGAGAGATGTGGGATGATCTAATATCCCACCCCTGTTCAAAACGTGGAAATTATATCCCTATCCGGTTACAGCCCGATAGTCCAACGGTTCGATAGTCCAAAGGTTCTGTAGTCCGAAGGTTCTGTAGTCCGAAGGGTCATTAGTCCGAAGGTTTGTTAGTCCGAAGGTCCAATAGTCCGAAGGTTCGATTGTCCGAAGGTTCGATAGTCCGAAGGGCCCATTAGTCCGAAAATAGAATAAGGTTCCGAATTGACAATAAGGTTCGATAGTCCGAATTGACAATAAGGTTCGATATTCCGAATGGGCAATACGGTTTGTCAATCTGACACTTCGGACTATCGGACCTTTGTGTTGATTCGGACTATCGGACGTTGTTGCCGATTCGGACTATCGGACCTTATTGTCGATTCGGACTATCGGACCTTAATTACAATAATCGTGAAAACACGTAATGCACGTTGAAAATAACAACACCAAGTACACGATATATAGATTCATTACTAGCAAATTGTGGTATCGAATCAGGATACAGGAAGAAAGTTTGCCATCCAGGGCTTACTATTGGAAACGAGGTTGGAAATAAAGTAAGCACTGGGGACGAGGTTACTGATACCTGCTCTATGTATGAACAGATTTGCTTATAAAAGACAACCGCATCTTGGCCTCTAGAATTTGACCAATCAGCAGGCGCTTTATATGTCGGCTCTTTGGTCGGTCACGTACTTTGCGTCTAGACATGGATTAAAAATAACCCGCTAGACACAGCAAGAAAGGCTTTGGTCGCGCCCCTTTCGCGCGAGGCTGTTGTTGTATTACAAAACACTGCATTCGAATATACCAATCAAACTACTAGTCCTGATTTGGGAATGAAATGACGTCACGATTTAGTAAAGTCGACTCCGATTGCCTGGTGAGCGGCTTGCGTATATCTGCATGCTTAGACTTATCAGACGTTGTACAGGAGACTAATAATTGGCTCCTTGGATAACGGGTGATACTCAGACTAGATGATAGTGATACCATGCTTTAAGACAACGAAATTTGATTATACACTATCCAGCTCTCCGTCTAAAATGTATTAATGAAGCTTTTCGAAGGGTGGCCTTTAAAAGGAAATCTTCCTTAGCGGCAAGAAACTGAAGACGCATTTTCACAGTTTTCTAACCTGCTTCAGATTTGTTTTGTATTGTTGTTTCTTGTCTCAGCAAAAAATGCAAGTGGTGCCTATTACCGTTTAACCTGTACACAGCGAGATGGAAATGTTGCAAGGCTGCACTGCTAATAGTTGATAGCCGAGCTAACGAAGCATAAACCAGCGGAGCGCGTGCTTCTGTGACGGGCATGAGAGCTACGTGCCAAGCAAAAAGTCATGCGTGGCCGTGGTATCTCACAAAATATTCCCGTGTTTTCGGCTGACTTTTTTTCGTGTCATCGCGAGGCCGTGAGGCATATCCCCCCTGTTGGATTTCTTCGGCTCGCGAGGCGAAAAACTCACTGTGTGCGGTCACGTGCTGAGCTAAACAGATTATGTACACGCGATTTTAAGACGTTTTGTGCAAATGTTCTAAAAAGCCTGCTGGCGTTTCTCCCCATTTTTAAAAATCACGCGACCGACTAACAAGAATGTGCTTTCAGTGGTTAATTACCCCCGGTAATCTTTTGAGCTCAGCACGTAGCCCTGAGTTGAGCGCACACGGTGAGTTTTTCGCCTCGTGAGGCGAAAGAAAATCAAACAAGGGAGATATTTGCCCCACGGCCTCGGCAGAAAACTCAGCAATTCACTGCAAATGGTAATATTTTCTGAGCTACGTGCTAATCAAACTGCCTCGAACGACCTTTTGCTCAACACATTTCTCCCGTGTGTTGCGGGCTTAATGAGGCCCCTTCGTTTGGTATACATATCCATCTATTGATCCAGATCACGGAACTCAAGGACCCTTCCATATGTTAGATCCACTCCGTTTGTTTGTCTGTTTCTGTTTCATTGTTTTGTTTTGTTGTGTTTTGTCTTTTGAATTTAGTCTTCCTTTTTCAGTATTGTTTATATATATATTTTGTTGTGTTTAAGGCATTCCGTTTATAAGCTTCGGCTTCTTGTGTAATGCCTCCACTTAGTAGTTTTCATGTGACAATTGTTTTGTTTTCTAAAGTGCTTATTCATGTGGAAATAAATGTTTCTGAAATGAAATGAAATGAAATGAAAATGGCAAACATGGCCAATGAAACAAGTAGAACATTGAAAACTTATTCGATTTTCAGTGTTGTTTCATGTGCTTGCAATACGATAAAGAACAAAGTCAGAAAGGCATAGATAATTATCTGTAGGTCCTATAAACTAACGTCACGTGATCGGACGCAGTTATATTTGATTAAATTTGGCACATTTTGCCAACCACACGTTGCCAAACTATGGAAGGTCCAGCACTGCAAAAATGAAGAATAGTAAATGATTAGGCCTACACACATATTATTTGATTGCGGAAAATACAAAATAATCAACAACTACTTCAAAATACTTCCTAAACATTTTTTTATGTAATGAAGGTGTTTTGAGGACTTTGGGAAAAAATATGTTGCCAACCACGGCTTCAATTTATGCCACTGCAGCAGCCCATGCAAAATGGCGCTCTATGTTTACAAAGAACAAAAAAGTCTATACAGTGTTGGGGTACCAGTTCACCGTGACCATATCAGGATAGTAACGAAACAAACGCGCCTATTTCATGTAAATTAACCGAAAGTGACTGCACGAACGATCTCTATAATCGATTTACGAAAGAGTGCGTAGCATTAAGTTTAAGCATGCAGTTGCATGCTCAATAACCACACGATCGATAACACTAGATTTTGCGTAGATGCACAATGTTTTAAATTTTAAAATCATCAAGGACGAGGATAATCAACAATTTTACAACGGCTGTTTGTGCTTGATTTTATACCAGTCACGAAGTGAAACAGCCGATGAAGTGTCGTGAATTTGGCTGCCGGTCTGCACAAGTAAAGATTTGTATAAATTTCCAGAACCGTAGACCTTTCTTTCGTTTACAACATTATAAGTCATTTTTTTTTCTTATGGGCTGTTGCAGAGACATACATTTTAAGCCGAGGTCGGCTACAGATTTCCCCATCGAAAATGCACATTAACATTCTCATTATATTCTCATTATATTCTCATCATAATTAAGTCTCAGCCAGATGGTAGTATTTGTTGGTTATATTTTTTTTAATTTTTAACAATTCAGTGACATGATTAGAAACATAAATAATCATTCTTTGGTTTTTCACGTTGGCCTTCCATAGTTTACCACGCGGGTCGGCAAAGAAAAGCTCTATTGTCTTCTTTCGTGTATCTTTCAGTCAATTGACTGGTACCCTGTAAGTCTTGCTGTGTAGATTGTGAACATAATCATGGCGGATGTTACCAGTGAGTTAAAGCAAATACATTAATAATCATCAAACACAAATACATCCGTACATGCAGTCACGCTTGAGTAGGAGGAATGAAGGATGGCCGTCTCTAGCTACGTATCCTTGTCGTCATATTGCAATTAGATGGAAATTTGTTATTACACTGTTGCAGTGCTGTTGACGGTCTCCCTATAAATCACCAATTATTCACTCATGCGGAGTATGCTTCCTTGCATGGAGAAATCTAACGACAGGTATCCTTCTCAAGAACCTGTCGTGACATTACTTGCGACCTTGGGCCGGGGAGTGTACGTGTTGTAGAAAAACGCGATGAAAGTGGAGTGGAACAGGCACGAGGGGATGGCGTAAATTCGGAGACAGATCTTCCCTTTAATCGCTCCCACAACTCAACACCCTTCCTTTCCCGGAAAGAGCATTTAGATTTCATATTTTGATTTCTCCCTCGGTAGTGTGCCGCTCTGAGATCATCAATGTTGGAGTAGGAGGTTCAAGCCCCAGGTTGTCACCAATGACATTTATTATTATTTCTTTTGTCGGAGCGGGGAGTGGTTGGCTGGGGGGTTGGGCAAAGACGACGACACGTGACTTTTGACGTCGGCACCCTTTGCAACCGGAGGTTTATATACAGGTTGAGTCAAATAAAGCGAAACTCAAATGCCGGGACTATTGTTTTAGTAAAGTTCTTTATAAATCACTTTCAAAATCTAGGATATGAAAGCCCAGTTCATAAGCTTTCTATTAATACAAGAATCATTCAAATCCCTCATGTCCTTTTTAAGTTACGGAATTTTAAACATAACCACTGTTTTAAAGTTCTGTCCACGAATCACAAAAAAAAGTGTGCGTTCTTTCAGCAAAACAAAAACAATTCACACATTCCTTTGCGATTTGTTTTCGTTTTGCTAAAAGAATACTTACTTTCTTGTGATCCTTGGACAGAACTTTAAAACGGTGGGTGTGTTTAAAATTCCGTAACTCAAAAAGTGCATGAGTGGTTTGAATTATTCTTGTACTAAAAGAAAGCTTATGAATTGGGCTTTCATATCCTACATTTTGAAAGTGCTACATGCATTACTTCACTAAAACAATGGTCCCGACATTTGGGTTTCGTTTTTTTTTACTCACCCTGTATACTATAAATGCCCTGCTTGGTAGGTTTGAGCCGTTAGCCCAGTTGGTGGAGTGCCGTTCTGAGATCATCGATCTTGGGGTTGGAGGTGCGAGTCCCAGGTGGTCATCAATGACATTTATTATTTTTGTTTTCGTCAGAGCGGAAAGTGGTTGGGTGGGGGGACGACACGTGACTTTTGACGTCAGCACCCTTTGCAACTCTATTATACTGACAAGATAGCGCTTCGGGCCGTGGGGTGAAGTCACTAGACGCCATTTTGGGCTTGGTGGTTCGAGCCCCAGGGTGTCACCGGCAACATTTGATTTTTTTTCCAGATGGATGGGGGAGGGACTGTCGACGACACGTGACTTTTGAGTCACCACCCTTTGCAACCGAAGGTTTATATATGTTTTAAATTCCCGGCTGGTTAGTAAGTGCGAGTCGTTAGCCCAGTCGGTAGAGTGCCATTCTCAGATCATCGATCTGGGGGTTGGAGGTTCGAGCCCCAGGTTGTCACCAATGACAATTATTTTGTTTTTCGTCAGAGCGGAGAGTGCTGGGATGGGGACTGACGGCAGCACGTGACTTTTGACTTCACCTCCGTTTATTATATTATAGATTCCCGGTTTGGGTAAGTGCGAGCCGGTAGCCCAGCCGGCAGCCCAGTCGGTAGATTGCCGTTTATTCCGATCATTGATCTTGGTGTTGGAGATTCGAGCCCCAGGTTGTCACCAACGACATTTATTTTGTTTTTCGTCAGAGCAGAGAGTGCTGGGATGGGGGACTGATTACAGCACGTGACTTTGACGTCACACCCTTTACAATCGGAGATATATTATATATTTTATAAATTCCCGGCTTGGCAAGTGCGAGCCGGTAGCCCTGTCGGTGGAGTGCCGTTCTGAGATCATCACTCTTGGGGTTGGAGGTTCGAGCTCCAGGTTGTCACCAACGCCTCTTTTTCGTCAGAGCGGTGGGGGCTGGGGTGGAAGGGGGTGGGCGGAACTGTCGACGATACGTGACTTTTTACCGCATCACCCTTTGCAACCGGAGGATTATCTATACTACAATTCCGGAAATCTGTATGTGTCTGTGTGTCTGTCTGTATTTCGATTATCTCCTGAACCGGGCACCGTATGAAGTCAAAAATCGGCGGGTGTATTGCTTGGGACCCCAAAATGTGTATGTCCGTTTGCTGCCAATAGGGAGGTTTCGCAAGCGAACGGATACGCTTACACTTACGTTTAGCTATCCGTATCCGCTTTTTACTTACGCGTAGCGAGCGAGATATGCGTGTCGTCTGCACGTTTAGCGGATAGTGAGTGGCGTATGACGTCATACGTGCAGACGACACGCATATCTCGCTCGCTACACGTAAGTAAAAGACGGATACGGATAGCTAAACGTAAGTGTAAGCGTATCCGTTCGCTTGCGAAACCTCCCTAATGTTGATTGCCTACATTTTGACTTTTTGACATTCTCATCATTTTATAGGTCTCCCGAAACCAAACATCGGGGTCATGGGTTGGAACTTCGGGTAGTAAATACGACCGACCCCCCCCCCCCCCGTTGTATGGTTTAGGGTAGGGACTATGATACGTCACTACCATAGCCTATCTGATCTTCACGTGCACCACCGACAGAACAAGTGAGCGCTTGTAGCCCAGTTCGAGGTGGCGCTGTTCTCATGAATCGCGAGAAGCAAATCCTTAGGTCACGGATTCCAGCTCTGGTTTTCACGACCGACTTTTTTTCTTCTTAAAGGACGATGGGTCGGGACGAAGACATGCTACTCCGACAGCTAATCAGCTCGAGAGATTCCCTTTTGACGTCACCATTATGGCCCACCACCGACGTGTTCTTATACATTAAGATATGCCCATTTCAAATGAGCAGGTGGTAGAGCGCTGTTCTCGGGACAAACGAGAATCAAAGGTTGGGGTTGCGGTTCGAGGCTCGGATTGCTATGAACGGCTTATTTCTTGAGGGATGGGGGAGGCTTTATGGTCGGTAAGACGACACTTACGGACGTCTCATCAATAACTTGAATAGCTCAAATTGAATGCCATAGATTAGGCGTATGCAGTCATCTCACTTGAGCTCAACCTGAACTCAATCGAACTTCATGTGCTCGGGAGCTTGATAAAGTAAAAAATACAGCTCTCAAGGGTCATTTTTAATTTCAATATTTCTAAAAGAAACCCCACAAACCCACGAATACGAGTCTTTCAGATTTTTTTTGTTTAGAAAAAGCAGGGACTATTCATTTAAAGGACAATTTTGTTCTGAAATTACTTCTGATTTTGTCTTTATCGTTGAAACATCTGAAAAGAAAAAGGTTTACAGTTGTTTTGAGGAATCCAAGACCACAGATGACGACATATAAGATTAAGAAAACCGTCCAAGAGACTACTGTGTTTGTATTCAATCAGGAGTAAGCAAATGATCTACTCTATTGGGAATTTAAGATTTTGAGAAAAACGTCATTGCTCACATTTCACTTTTCGTCTAAAAATTCCAGGAAATAACCCGAATGATATTGATGATTGCAAAGATTTCAAACAAATTTTGTTGTTTGTGGTTTTTTTTTGTGTTTTATTTTTGGGGTGGGGTTGGTAGGGTTATTGGGTTCTTGGTTCTTTTTTTTCTTCTTCGGGGAATGGGGGTAATAGTTGTATCATTATTACAACGGTTATGTTAGAATTGTCCTGATTCATTCAATGTTTAACCCTTTGAGCTTCAAGCCCAAAACTTTACGCGGAATGGCCACGGGGAGAATTTTATCACCACACGTGTTTCTAGGTCAATAACCCCCGCATGCCTGAACATGCACAAGATATAGGTCATTCACATCGTCCGGTATTGTTTATAACCTGTCTGAGCTCTGGGTGGCATGAGGGGTTGACACAAAGAGATCGGCAGCACTTAGAGGTTGGCCACTAAGATCTCCAATTACTGCAAAAAGACATTAGGCGCCATCTTGGCTTCTGTCTTTCAACACTCCTTACTCCGGAGTGGCTAGGGTCTGGCCAATGGGAGTGTACAGGCTTGTGGTGTATGGTAGGGGTGAGGATTACATGGAACTTGGCCTAATTGGCCCATTGGAAAAAAAAATATGGCTATATTTATTTAAGAAAATTTGGGGAATTTTAACGTCCGCTTGCTGCGCGAAGGGTGTTTTAGGAGGCACTTATATGTAAACCTGTTTGTTTTCTTATTTTTGCTATATTTCACACTAGTCCAGAAATAGCAGCCCCGCTGCGGAGGTAAAGAAGCATTATCTGTGCTTTTCTGCTTGATTTTCCTAATTTTTTTTGTGGACAAAGAGGTAGTTTAGACCCACCATCCCCCTGTATGCACCACTGGGATTGCCGCACCCAAAGTTCTGGCGAATGCTTGCTCATGCAAGCTAGGTGAATAATCTGGCTTTTAGGGTTTGCTCTTATGGCACTGCCGGCGTGTGTTCCCCAAGTAACACGACAATGAAGGCAAAATGACCTATTAAAAAAAAACAATTGACATATCAAGCCTGATCACTCCTTGAAGTTGTATTCCATTCTGGAAAGCACCTAGTATAGGTTTTCCTGGCCAAGTTAGCAGATTTTGCGGCCAAATTGGTGACCAATCACCCATGATTTCGCACGAATTTGAATGCACGTTGAGATCAATATTCAATTACCTAAAAACACCAATCGATTTCACATTAGAAGCATGCGATTTCACATTTTAATCATGCAATTTCAACAATAGGGCATTCAAATTAAAATTGCACAAACAAGCATCCAAATTCGCCGGAGCTTCCAGCTGTGTTAAGTTTGGTCATCAGAATTCACCATTAAGCAAGCATTATGTGGAAAGTAAGCAAAGGAATTCGAAATGGGTCCATGTCGTTCCGTTGTATGTTAGAATAAGATGGGGTGCTTTTGTTTCAATTTGGAAATATAGACATAAAACCCGTCTCCCACAAGACTCTGCCACTACTCTGATCACCATGCAAACTGTTAGATTGAAGTACTAAATATCAATGTGCCAGCTCACGGGCGTTACATGAGAATTTCAATTGTAGACCGTGGTCGTTTGATGCCCAAGACTATCTTGAACTTGCAGACAATGTTGGCATTCATAAACCGATATCTACTGCCAGGTCAATTGTAGCAACGTATCTGAGATCGGGCAGAAGGGTAAACCTGCCAATCGGATTGGCCAGAAACACAACTAAATGGACCACTACATGAAGCAGAAATAACGAAATGGTGAAAGAAATGAAAAGACTCGCATCGTATACCTTCGTTGACTTTTATTTTGAATGAAAAAAATGCTAAATAGAATGCGCGGAAATGAAAACGAAACCAAGAATCTCATACAAATAACCCTAAACCAAACTGACTGCTAAATTGAATGATCACTTAAACCGAATGACATATCTTCAATTTAGGATGTGTTAAACATGAAAATGTCAGGTCTTAAAACGAATTTGAACGCCTGAAATCTAACACGGACCAAGCTCCGTGCGCTACCAAAAGAGGGCGCCCATTTACCTAACAACGACGTCCCATGGGCGGGACATTTCGCTGGTTGACGCACACCGTTCCTTGTGTGTGACGCACGTACACCAGGGGATTTGTTCTATTTACACGCAGTGGCCGCGCTTCGCGGCAAATGAATTGCAGTCAGGCAAGATGGCGTCGGTCGGTCACTCCCAACTGTACTTCCTTGTGAACGGAGCGGCATTAAATTGATGAAGGGTACAACGGTAGTATGGATTTGCACTACCGGTACCTAACTGGATTCCAAGTAAACACCTCAGTGGTGATGCGTGCTTATTGATATCCGGACAAGCAAGCAGGTGGTTGTGAATGGTTTAATTTGCAGGAGAAAACAAAACACACCCGTGAATACCTACAGGCCTTTTAACTCCGATGCAAAACGAGTATTAAACTCCGATAAAAAAAATGAAAAATCATTAAAAAGTTGCACAGTTAAACACGTTAATGACAATAATATGGGTTTTTCCCGGCCAATTTTCTAAAATGTTCATTCACTTCTGAAAATCGGTCATTCGTTTTCGTCTGAATTTGAGAATCGCTCTGAACACGCGTTTCGTTTTCGCTACAAGATCATTCGATTCCAATTTCAGTTCAATCAATTAAGTGATTGAGCAGCACCTTTCATTTATGTTCATTCAGATTCGTTTACAAGACTTCTTGTCGGCTTTTAGAGGGCGATTTCAAACATTCACCATTCTATTTTACTTTTAGTTTAATGCCATTGGCACCAGATAAAATTAAGGGTTTCTTTTTCATTAACCGTCAATCAAATATGCTGTACCTGAAATCAATTTAGAAAAGGTATGCTTGCGTAAATGAATGCACAGGTAAATGTAATTGGCCGTCTGTTTCTCAAAACCGAATGTACGGACAGTGAAAACGATTTAACGTTCGTTGAATTGAAATAAGAATAAAGACGGGCATTCAAATTCAGACGAAAATGAATGACCGATTTTCAGAAGCGAATGAAAATTTCATGAAATTGGCCGGGGAAACCTATACTAATCTTCAAGTTAGCCTATTGTTATGCAATCTTCATTGTGCATGTAATGTTACCATATGGGTGGCGATCGGGGGGAGGGGGGGGGTGTACATGGGGGCCTGTCCCTCACCCCCTCTCCAATAATTCATGAGTGGGGGACATCGTTGGTGACGCCCCCAACAATTTATCCTAGTAAGATATATATTATGCAAATTTGCATGTTTTTTCCCCCGAAGTGGTATTACATCTAGCTTTTATATACATGTATTGCTTGTGCAGCACCATGTGGCGTAGCCAGTAATTTTTCAGTTGGTGGTGGGTGGGAGGGGGGGGGGGACCCAACGGCATTTCTCCCAAATTTCCAGGCCACCGCAAATGCGGAACATTTAAAAAGCGGGTGGAGGGGACCTCTTTTGACGATAGCGGCCTTTTTTTATTTTTATAAAAATTAGTAAAGTCAAAATAGTCATCTGGATTCCTATCCGTGTTAATAACGAAAACAAATACGTTAAAAAAAACAACTTCCTTCGCTACGCCACTGTGCAGCACCCTTTTTACGGATCTGCAAAATATACAGCAGCTAATGGGTGAAGATTAGTCTCGTTCCCAGACTAAAAGATTCTGACTATTCCTGATGAATCTTAGGCCCGGTAGCCTCCGGTAATACATTGTATTACAATTAACGTCACGTGACTAAAACGGGAGGAATTCCTCCTTTTTCCGAAAATTTCCGAAGTTTGCCGAAGTCGTTTCGTCGACAA